CGGCCCGGGCAGGTCGCCCGAGGGAGGGAGGCGGGGGGGCGCTGCTGGGCTGCTCCGCGCTCCCCGGCCCACACGCACACCGCTCACACCTGTGGGCGCGCACACACCCTGCGGCAAACGGGCAGCGCACTCATAGACGCACACACCTGTGGGCAAACACACACACACACAGACATCCGGTGACAGGCAAGCAGCACACACATACACACACAAACCCCTACACCTGTACACGCACGTACACACATATGCTTTCCTGGCTGTGCACCTCCACACACCCAGGTGAGTGTCCCCTGCCCCGGCATCACAACCAGGCTCCAGCTTGCCCTGAGGAGCATGTACACACCTGCCTGTCTGCCTCGGGGCTGCACCCACGGGTGGGGATTGGTGCCAGCTTTGGCTGGCATCGTGAAGAACCGGGGGCACTCATCGCCCCAGGGTGACCCAGCCCTTGCAAAACTGTGCCGCTCCCTGTAGGTGTGTAGCTTCACCTGTCTATGCTTGTATGTGTGTGGGTCATGCCTGCAACATGCAAGCATGCATACACAGGTACATACACATACACACAGGCACACGCACACACCTGGGCTCACCCACATGCACACTCAGAGGCACACACACATACACAGGCACACACACACAGGCATACATACAAATATGCACACACAATTACACATGCACACACATATGCAGTATGCACACGTGCATAGGTGCACACACGTGCACACAGAGGTACATGTGCACACACACATGCACACACACTTGCTCACACAGGTACACACGAGCACACACACATATACACATGCACACAGCACCTAGGGCATACAAACCTAACTAAATGCAGCCTTCAGACTTGCAGAAAGACCCCCAAACCCTAGCCCTGGCCAGAAACTGTTCTTGTTTCCCACTCTCCAGCCTCACTTTTCTTTTGTCCCGTGGTAGGACAGCTGCCTCCGTTCTGTGTGTGTATTTACATGTATTCATTCATAAATGTGGATGGATTGGGGAGAGTCAACTAACTGCCAGGTCTTCTCTGCCTTTTTGTTGTTAAGGTCTAAAAAAAAAATAGGGTGGTTTAATTCCAGTTCTGGGGGTTTAGTGAAGCCCCTTGTACAGTACAGCCCCTTGTTCACTGGCATCCATATGTTCCAGGGTGAAATGGGTACATGTTTTCAGTGTGTTATTTAAGAATGACATTTGACAAGTCATTAGTCCTGAGCCTTTTGGCCAGGACTGCAAATTCGAATCATACCTCAAGATTGTGAAAAAATGGCTACCACAAGGCTAAGGAGAAGTATTCTCCCTTTTTCTCTCTCTGTTCCCTTCAGTTTGTGTACTTACAGGGCATGTAAACAGGAACCCACACAGGGATTATGTGCTACGTTCATTTTTAAACACACCTCATATGCAAACTTCCTGCCTCTGCAATAACCTGGACTACTACAAGAAATGAAACATTTTCTTTTCTCACTGTAAGGTCTGAATTAAGTCTCCCAAACTTGATGATCCCTTGTGGCACAAATGAAAAATAGAGCCATTATAGCACAGGTAAATATATCTGCTATCAGAGAAGATATATATAGTCTACCACAGTTAACAGGCTATAGTAGTCTCCTTTGATGAATGTACTTTTTAACTGTATTAAAAACTATATGAGCATCCTCTCCTGAAACTAAATCAGTATTTAACAAGGACTGTGTCTGATCTTATACTAGTTTTACGTAAGTATAGCTCCATCTCTCCCCAGTGGCTTTAACTCCAAATTATATCAGTATGAAATAAGAAACAAGCTGTAGAAGGGCAAACCAGAATGCATGTCTGCAACTTCTATTGTCCCTTGAAGGCAACACCTACATAAAGCAAGGGAGAATCAAATCATTTAAAAAACCTCTGTAGTTAAAGCAAGGGAGAATCAAATCATTTAAAAACCCTTTGTAATTAAGCTTATAATAACATGCTTGTGAAGCCTATGAAACTAATACATTCATAGCTCATTCTAGTTATAACCAGGGATCCTGGTTTTCTCTGATTAAAAAAATAAATCCCCAATTTTCAGATTAAAAAAGGAACCAAAATCTACTTTTCTGTGATTAAAATGAAGCTCCCTCTCTCTCTCTCTCTATATATATAGGGGTATGTGTGTGTGTGTGTGTGTGTGTGTGTGTATATAGTGACTAAAAGCATTTGAACCAAATCCTTCCTTGGTTCACCATAGCAATCAGCAGTAATCCTTTAGAAGCCTTGTAAACCTATGGGTGCTGAGGAACTGTAATTGCAAATTGCATCCTTCTGTGTCTGAAGGAGCAGCCTTGTGAGGAGTAGAGGTCAGGTGCTACCACTTACCTACTCTACCAGGTCCTACAAGGGGTGGACAACTTAAAAAATTAGTCAGTGGTATGTAGGAATTTCTGCAGCTGGGGGTTACCTTAGACATGTGCTGATTCAGTCCAGTTCCAATTTGTCACCAATCTCTAGGAGGTGTCACCTAATTTGTGAGCTGTGGTAGCCAGCTGTCTACATGCGAAATAAATGGAACCAGTTAGTGGTTTATAAACAGGACTCTCAGTTATGCTAAATTTTCAGTGGTATCTTGAATCATAAAAAAAAAAAATCACACTAAAAAAATCATAGTATAGCCCTAACAAGGTTGGTGAAGACTTGAGTTATGTTTTGTATCCAGGGATAGGCTGGAATTGGATCTTTACAAATCAGGAAATAACCCACTTACCCTGTGTTAGGTTTTACTAAACTTTGACTAAGAATTTCTCCATGATTTCTCCTAATCAGGAAAAGAACAGAACATTATCTAAAATGTGTTGTAATTGCATACTGGAAAATATATGAACCATGTTTAATAATCATAGATATGGGGCAAAGATACCTGACAGATTAGATTTCCCCCAATATTAGTGTTATACTAATACAACCAATTTAATATTTCATAACTAGTAACCTGAAGTAAAACTGTATGAATTATGATTAATTTGTTTTGTAAAGTCTAGTAGCAAAAACACTAGTTTAGTGGAGTTTATTCATTTGCTTGTATTCAAAAGGTCATGGTTACAGAGAATTCCTTTTAAGTGAGAGCTGACTTGGTTAGTGCACAAAGGTTGGGTATGTAATGTCATTAAATCCAATTCACACTGGACAAGTATCCTTATATGGAGATTATAAAACTGGGGGGGAGGTGGAAATTAGGCACTGTAGTTCAATCATTTTTGCAGATAAACAAAACCTTGTAACTCATATATAGAGATTTAAGACATATGCATAGTTATACACATTTGTATATATACCTGTACTGTGAGAGGCAACAACTCTCTTCATGGAACACAGATTTAGTAACAAATAACAGGTACAAATTTGCAATCTTCAGAGATGTGAGATTTTCAGAGATACATACAAACCTTTTTAAAGTCCCATACAGTAAAAACAGTAATTTGTTACAGCAGATGTGATTCCTTTGGGGTAAATTTTTCTACTGGTTGCTAATAGATAATTAAGCTTCTGCTTTTAAAATCTTGTTTTTTGTGAATCATGTAGCTAATTTTCCAACCAATTTATACTTTTAAACAGCGTGCCTCTTTTATGAAAATCCAAACATATATTTATTTTTATTTTGCCCTGATTATTTTATTCTCAGGTGGGGTTTTCAGTAAATTAAAATAAATCATCATTCAGCACTAAAATGGTATACACAACCCTCACAAGTATAAAACATTAGTCTTATGCTACTATAAAAACAATGATTAGTCTCTTCTCCATCCGTTTAAACTGCTGTGACATTTACAACTAGCAGCATAAACACATGCTCTCCTGAAGTCTCCTTTGTGAAAGTCAGGGCTGTTTTTTGACAGGAGACAGCGCCACATACTGGTTATGTGGAGTGAGATCTGCAAATACTTAATGGTACATTATCTCATGCAGAATTAATCTGAGTTTCATGGGTTGCTTTTAATCAATTTTAAATCAGCCTGAAAGCTCTATAAGTAATCACATTTTATTATCAAGTAATACCAACATTAGGTAACAATCCCAGGTAGGCAAATAAAGATAATAATGGTAATGGTAAAAGTATTTGTTTCTTAAATATGGAATACTATATTTTCATTAATTGAAGTTATTTATTATATTATATTACCTGAATTTCCCATCTTCATCAGTTCCCTTCAGCTCCAGTGTTACAAACAGGTTTTGACTTCAGCTATTATAAATAGAACTAATTGTAGAAACACTAAAAACAAACTATTTTCAAGCACAGTTATCAAATCATAAGAACAGAGAGAAAGCAACACAGAAAATATAACATACATTTTTCAATGAACCTTCAAATGCAGTTCCATAACATCTTTATCAGAAATAGTTATTTAAAGCAGTAATAAAATCATACATTTTAAAAAGCATGATCATTGCTTTTAAAGAACTAATCATAAACAAGTGGCAAAACCCTCCTTTATCCTTTTACCTTTCCCCCATTTACCTTGCAGCTGTTATTTGGAGCCACTAGGCTCTGCATCCCCTATGACCTCATATGCATATTACCTTTATAGGACTTACATATATTCATGAAGAAACAGCCATGAATTTAGAATTCCAAAAAAATTAGAATTAACAATAAGCTAGAAAATGTAAACTTTTTACTTGGTTACTCCTATTTACAGAATTAAAAAGAAAAAGTATTATGCCACCAAAACAGAATAGTTTTACAATTATAATGAAGGACAGAGAAAGATAAAAAGAAATATTTATGAGTTATGTAGGAGGGAT